GACGAGGCTCTAAAACGGCTGGAACAATTCGGTCGTAATGAACTCGCTGAAACTAAAACTAATCCTATTTTAAAATTCTTGTCCTACTTCACCGGGGCCATTGCTTATTTAATCGAATTATCATGCGTATTTGCTGCTATTGTGCAACATTGGGTATGTATTTTTTTATTTAGTCATTGGTGTTTCATATTTTTAAGTCACTTATCAGTTATTGAATTTTTTAATCATTTAATTTATTTCATTTATTTTTATTTCATTTATTTCATTATCTTTTTAAAAGATCGATTTCGGTATCATTTTAGCCTTATTATTCGTTAATGCTTTCATCGGTTTTATTGAAGAAGCTCGTGCTGAATCCGCTTTGGATGCTTTGAAACAAACTCTTGCTTTAAAGGCTAAAGCTTGGCGTAATGGTCAATTTGTCGAAGTTGATACCGCTGAACTTGTCCCTGGTGACGTAATTGGTCTTCGTCTTGGTGATATTATTCCCGCTGATGCTCGTCTTCTTGGTATCTCGGTTACTGGTGGTGAAACCGAAGGTACCCTTGCTATCGATCAATCCGCTTTAACTGGTGAATCTCTTCCCGTTGAAAAAAAGAAAGGCGATACCGTTTATTCCTCTTCTATAGTAAAACAAGGTCAAATGTTGGCTGTCGTTACAAAAACTGGTTCAAATACTTTTATAGGTCGTGCCGCAAATTTAATTTCAATAACTGTAGAACAAGGTCATTTTCAAAAAATTGTTAATGCTATAGGAAATTTTTTGATTTTGATCACTGTTGTTCTGGTTAGCATCATTTTCTTCTATCAAATGGTCGTTTTCCGTAATACTCCAAAAGGAAACATTTTTGAGGTTCTTGGTCATGTCTTGGTCCTTACCATCGCTGCTATTCCCGTCGGTCTTCCCACTGTTTTATCCGTCACAATGGCTGTTGGTGCTAAACAACTTGCTGCTAAAAAAGTTATTGTAAAACGTCTTACCGCTGTTGAAGAAATGGCTTCTGTATCAGTTCTTTGTTCTGACAAGACTGGTACTTTAACTCTTAACGAATTAACTTTTGATGAACCTTATTTATGCAATGGTTATTCAAAAAATGACATTCTACTTTATTCTTATCTTTCCGCTGAACCTGGTGCTAATGATCCTATTGAATTCGCTGTGAGAACTGCTGCTGAAAGAGATCTTGAAATCCTTCAAAATCGTCTACACCAACACGAAGTTCCTGGTTATAAAGTTACCGCTTTCGTTCCTTTCAATCCTGCAACTAAAATGACTAATGCAACTGTCGTGAATCTAAATACAAATGAAGTTTTTAAAGTTGCTAAAGGTGCCCCTCAAGTTATTATTAGACTTGTCGGTGGTGATGATGCTGCTGTTCGTGCCGTTAATGCTTTGGCTATTCGTGGTCTTCGTGCTCTTGGAGTTGCTCGTACTTATCCTGATAATCCTGATACTTATAAATTGGTCGGCATGATTTCCCTTCTTGATCCTCCTCGTCCTGATTCTGCTGAAACTATAAGACGTTGTAATCATTATGGTGTGGAAGTAAAGATGATTACTGGTGATCAATTAATCATTGCTAAAGAAGTTGCTCATAGACTTGGAATGAATAGAGTTATTCTTGACGCAAATCATTTGGTCGATCCTAATAAAAGTGAAGAAGAAGTTACTCAACATTGTGAACGTGCTGATGGTTTTGCTCAAGTTATTCCTGAACATAAATATCGTGTTGTTGAACTTTTACAAAAACGTGGTCTACTTGTTGGTATGACTGGTGATGGTGTTAATGATGCTCCTGCTTTAAAAAAAGCAAATGTTGGTATCGCTGTTCATGGATGTACTGATGCCGCTAGATCTGCTGCTGATATTGTACTATTGGCTCCTGGTCTTTCTACTATTGTTGATGGTATCATGACTTCTCGTGCTATTTTTCAACGTATGAGATCATACGCTTTATATCGTATAACTTCTACCGTACACTTTTTGATATTCTTCTTTTGCATCACTCTTATTGAAAACTGGCAAATGAGTGCTATCCTTTTGATTTTAATCGCATTAT